TAGGGGGTTAAGTTCTGGGTAGCCGCTATCTTCCCCCCTGAAATGAGTTTCCCTCCCTTCGGCTGGGATCGGGTCCCCATCTGACTTCAACTCGCCCTTCGCTTTTACCTTTTAAATCTTCCTGGAGCTTTTCTGGAGTGGGGATCCAGCACGCTGCTTAGTCGGCGGCAGACTGAGATAATCAAGAAATGCATTCGTCTTTAGCAGCAGTAGGCAGCCTAAGGCCCGTGGGCTGGATGCGGCCCAATCGCCCTCTCAACCCGGCCCACAGACGGTCTGGGAATCAGCATGTTTTTACATGAGTAGAATGTGTGCTTTTATTTAAAATGCATCTCTGGGTTATTTGTGGGCATAGGAATCCGTTCATTCCCCCCCCCAAAAAAAATATAGTCCGGCCCACCACATGGTCTGAGGGACGGTGGACCCCACGGCTGAAAAAGGTTGCTGACCCCTGGTCTTTAGGATCCAGCAGGGCTCTTGGTTGGAGACCGCATTCCTTCTTCCAGGTTCTTTGTTTTCCCCACAATCGCTTGTCTAAAACAGGATAATATGCATTGTGTTATACAGCCCCAACATCTCTTATATCAGCTCTGGCGGGGCGTATATAATATAACATATCCCTGTGGAATTGCATTTATGTGCATCGCTGACATCTTTTCGGAATCATTTGGAGACTCGTTTGTTCCTCAAGGCTTTGGGGAGTTAACTGTTGTGGAACTCAATATTTAGCCCTTTTTGGTCTGCTATTGGATGTAAATTGGTGCCGCTTAACAATTCTTTCTTTAGATAATGTCGTTTTAAATGTTTCTATCAGTGCTTTAAGTGGGTTGCATTTTATCTCTCTCAGTTTTGTTAACCGCCCTGGGCTCCTTCGGGAGGAAAGGCGGTGCAGAAATGAAGTGACGCTATTGCTTACTACTACTAAAAATAATGGGATTGTATCCATAAAAATTAATAAAAGAATAACTTTTAAAAATCTACTTAGAGTAGACCCATTTAAATTAATGGCCTTAAGTTAGTCATGCCTATTATTTCCAGTGGGTTCGCTCTGAGTAGGGCTAGCACTGGGAACAATCTGATGATGATATGACATGATATGATATGATGCAGATCTAACAGGCCTTTATCTCCCATTATTTTCAAGGACGAGCAAAACACAAGAACCAAACATTTTTCGAGATCCATGGCAGTTAAAAGTGTTATAACTCTGACTTCTGTATTTCCTCTGTGTGTATCATATCTGGAAGATTTAGAGAAGTGTGTGATCATTTTCCCTTGTGCTGTTATACCCCACAGTGAGTGGGTGTTATTGTTTATCCTTTAAGGTGTGGGTGGATGAGTGGGTTATTGGTCTTTTAAAGGGGCGTGCAATGCGACTGAAATATTTAAAGCGTGAAGGGCACCTTTAAACAAAGATGACATGACACACAGCCCCCTTTTCCAGTCCGTGTTAAAGGAGCGATGCCACCCTGGTCGGATTTGGACTGTAACCTCCTAGCGGCAGAGATCTGCCCTTATAAAAACAAAACAAAAATCAACACCACCAGCAGCCATGTAAAAGTACATAACTTCCAGTGGCAGGTTGTTATATCTAACAACGCAGTCCTCACCAAGCTTACTCAGAGGCACTCTGATCGGATGGCCACGGTAAACTGATTAAACCTATTCGGTTCATCCATTTGAAACGCTCAATCGGTTAAAAATGTTGCTGTGTTCGTAAAACAACACGACAGTAAATCAGATCAAATGCTTAATTCCCAGCCCAGTTCAGTTTGTGACAGCGGAAACAAATAAAGTAAACAAGTTAGAAACGATATTGCAACAAATTCCAATCAAATATTGCAAGTCTAGCGTGTTACTATCATCCCAGCCATTATACGCATAAGTAAATTTCAAAGGAAAATACAGTCCTCCCAAATAAATGCACACAGGATCATATAGTCCAACGAGAAACGACTTTTTGTCTGCTTAGAAATCAGAAGGAGAGGCATTCAGACAAACGGTTTTTGTTTCCGCGAAGGCGCGCGGACACGGGTTTGAAATTCCACATGGCTTTGCCAAACACGCATAATAGGAGTCAACTCCTAGGGGCCGCGGGGGCTTCGGTCCCCACAATAAAATATTTGTGGGGTCCGGGCCCCCACAAAGTGGATGGGCATTCCCATGGTGTGTGTGCACTGTGTCATGTGATCGATTATGCGGGGCGGGGCTTACCTCCCCCCACCAATATTTTACAGTATTCCAGTTAGCACCCCTGCAAACTCGTATCAAAGGGAAGCGTGTATTTGCCCTCCAATCAGGAAAGGAGAAAGTCTCCCCAAGGATGCGCTGAACGTTTTCATCCGATTCCTCACAATACTGGCAAAGACTTCTCGGAAAGCTGTAATATCCGAAGACCACGTAGCCATCAATTAGGAAGAAGTTTCCACCTAGCTCGGTGCTGTCAACACTGACTGGCAGCGGCTAGGGAATATTCTCAGCCCAACCTGGCGATGTCCCTGGGGACTGAACCTGGGACTTTTTGCGTGCAGGGAAAATGTTCTGCCGCTGAGCTACGGTTCTGTGCACTTCCTGGGAATACTTTCCTAGTATATTAAGAGAGGCACCCGCATAGCAAGGCCACCTTGATGCAAGCACGGACTTTTATATAATAGAATAAAAAAAAATTGGCGGGGGGGCATAACTTTGAGGAGGAGGGACGTTCGAGGGGATGGCAGGTTGAAAAATGCTTTGGGTCAGTTGGTTAATTTAGGCAGGATATAAAGACATTTTAAAATCCCGTTTCCTAATGGGGAAAATTTCAGCACCTGCTTATCTAGTTCTTGAAATCAAGCGGGGAGTGGGGGGCTGTTAGAAAGCCCGGATGTTTGCGGGGATCGCGGTCAGATAAGCCTGTAACCTTCTGGGCTCCATCCATCCGCCTTGCAAAGCTCCAAAACAATCATTTAAAATGAATTGAAGCAAGAATGATATCTAAATATCCCCGCTGAAATGGGCTGTGCTTCAAAAGTGCCTGATCGTGCGTGCCCCCTGAATATATTTTTTAACCATTTGTACTCCAGATATTGCTAAAAGTGGATTACAGAATATGGGCTGTTAACATGAATAGAGGACACTGTTAAATGTATGTGTCTTTCTTAAAAAGTTTGGCGCGTAAGTTTTCTTCCCCATTGAAATAGGCTGGAGGTAGAGCGCTCTTAATTGGTTCGATCAGGCCCTTGGGAGACGAATAATATTATATAAAATGTCAGAGATTTAAAGCTCAATCACCCATATCCTAACATAACCTTCAGAGAATATGTATATTTACAGACACAGAATGGGAATGATGGAGGTTAGTGATCAAGCAAAATTCAGCTTATTTGATGTCCCCGTTAATTTCAAGGGGTGATTAATCAACAGGACTTTTCGGGTGCGATCTGAAACCTAGAGAGGAAGGTTTACTGGAGATAGTGAAAGTTACTCCTGAGTAACTAGGCATAAGATTGCGCTCTATAAAACACATTTATTGGGTTGGATTGAGTACAATCGTTTTCAAGTTTGTTTCGAAAAGGTTATACAAACAGTTTATTTTGAACGGTACATAGCCCTTCACCCCTTCCCGATAAAATTTCTAACACCTGGTAACGGTCCGAAAAGAAGAAGAGGTATTAATCTAATGATTTCTTAAAACAAAATTTACATGATCACCCAAAATGTTCCCGCTCTAACCCAACACATTTTCTTCAAAATACAAAGCCAAACTACGAAATCAATTGAACAGATCTCATTCCTCGACTTTGAATTTTCACTTTAAAAACTGCAAAAGCAGCAACAGGAACCAGGAAGGAAACACGAGAGTTTCTCCTTTGAACGCGTGGAATCCCTTATTATTTCTCAAAAACATTTTAAGAGGCTTATATTTAAGGCTTGAATAAGTGCAGCTAAATATTTCCAAGACATCTGAAATAACGCAGTAAATTTGCATGAAAAATCAACCCCATTTTTTGAAGCAAGTTTGAAAAACCCGAAACACCCAGTAATCTATAAGCCCCTTTCCTAATTTTGCAGCCTGTTTACTCTGACGCGACTTCCAACTGAATCACTATGGAATTTGCTTCCTTGTAAGTATGTTAAAGATTGCACCACCAGCATCTCCACCGTTATTACTACATCTGATCTGAAACATAGTTACACTCCGACCTCGAATCTCTCTAATTTTGAAGGGAAAGTCCCATTATATTCAAGGCAGCTTTAATTCAGAGTAAACGGGCGTGACCTGTTTTTACAATCATTTGAAACGCAAACTTTGTAAGATTAGTGATCCTAAAAACCAAACGAGAGAAACCCCATATAACTAAAAGAAAAATAAATTTCTGGTGGGTGGGTGGGACTGAAGCTGCCATCGTATACACACTTACCTAGGAGTAAATCCCATTGAATTGAGTGGGATTTGCTTCCGTGCAGGCATGCACAGGGTCACCAGAGTAGATGAAATTGTTCGCAGTGGGACTTACTTCTGAGTAAGTGTGTCTGGCGATGGTGCTGCAGTAACACGTGCTTTGCATTTCTGCTGTTGGCCTCAGACGTTACTCCAAACTCGCTGTTCAAAGAGGCCTGAAACGGAAACGCACAAAGCATGATGGTGGAGGCTTCTGATTGTAGTTTTAAAAGGCACTGGGGAGTTCTAGGACGTGGATCTGTCTCCAGCTTTCGAAAACAAACTGCTTATGCGGATTTATCTCTGTAGGTACCCAAGACCCCATTAACGCTTGACTGCCGCCCCAATTAAACGTTATATAGAACATGGCGTGTGATTACTATGCATCTACAACGAATCCCTGACCAGATGTTCAGTCTACAAAACTGAGGTTATGTGTAGATACACGTATTTACTAATTTAGGAACACAGGAAGCTGACTTTTACTGAGTAGAAGATTGGTCCATCCGGCACAGTACTGTCTACACTGGCTGGCAGCAGCTCTCCAGGGTTTCAGGAAGGGGACATGCCTAAGCTTACCTGGGGCTGCCAGGGATTGGACCAGGGACCTTCTGCATGAAAATCAGATGCCTCACCACTGAGCTAAGATCCACCCCCCTCCATTTCCTCCATGGTTCAGCTTCTGTCTCCAGAATGCCTTTCTGCCCTAAAAATCGTTCAAAAAGTTGCATATTCCTCCTAGAACTAAATGTAACTTTTTCCAGCCCAGATACTTGTCTTAATCATTTATTTATTTAGCTTATGAAACTCAATAAGATGTATGCCACTGTGTTGTTGTTGTTGTTGTTGTTGTTGTTGTTGTATGTTTATATATTATTTATATTATTAGCAGGTCTTGCCTTGGTATTTTTTTTCTTATGGAATTCTAAAGCGTATGGTACTGAGGATATTATTATTGATATTATTATTATTATTATTATTATTATTATTATTATACTTATTACTTATTACAACCAAATCCTACACAAGGGAATGGGATATTATCCACTACCCAGACGAAGGGTTCTGTGTGAATTAAAGGCCTCCTACAGGAATTGCTTTGATCCCTGGAAAGTCTGGAGTGTTCATTCCCTGCCTCTTGGAGGCATAGCCAAACAGTGCTTTGCTCAAAAGCCAAAATAGATTTTGTGGCACTATAAAGACCAACAAAGTTATTGTGACACAGGTATGGATTTAGTTACATTTTTGCTTTGGACACACCATACATTTTAAGAATGCCTCCCCCCACCCACACAGTATCCTGGAAACCATAGTTTCTTAAGACTGCTGGGAATTGAAGCTTGGCGAAAGGTAAACTTTGGTTCCTAGGATTATTTCGGGGCAGAATGTGCATTAAATGCCTGGTGTGCATTCAGCCCACATCCTTAATGGTGTAGGAAATGAAGCTGACATACATAATCCTGTGTGCTGCAATCCTAACTCCACTCACTCAGGAGTAAGCCCTTTGAATTGAATAGGACTTACTTCTGAGTAGACCTGGTTCAGGCTGCGCTGTTAAAATGTGTTTCAGTACAAACCTATATGTGTGCATGAAATAAGCCCCATAGAGTTCAATGAGTTTTGCCCCCAGCAAAGTGTGCATAGGATTGCAACCTCAGCCTTTCATGCACCACAGGTCATTCACTCCTTGATTCGATGCAGAGTTCCGTGACATCTAGACTGTGCACATACCATATATTTAAAGCAAAATCCCTCAAAAAAAATAATAATCCTTGGGTTCTGAGAATTATAGCTCTGTGAAGGATAAACTACAATTCCCAGAATTCTAGGGTGTGTGGAGAATATGTTCTAAGTGCATGGTGTGCATGCAGCTTTACCCCCCAACTAAAGATGCCCAAAATTTCAGCCTAGCCTGTCGTTCCACATAGGCTCTTTTGGAACCCAAATCAAGGGCTGGGTGCTACTTGTTAAAAAAACAACTTCAGCATATATTTATATTCTTATGGCATTTATATACCAGGTGGAACTCACAAAGTGGTTTGAATAAGACTATGACAACAATAAGCATCACTTTTTAAAAAAGAAGTTACAGTAGAAAGGATAAGACCACTTGTTTGATAAGAAAAAGTTGTTCCTGCTTCTTCTCCATTCCCATGGGGATGGGGGAGATGGTCCTTCAGATGTCCTTGTGGCGGTGGTTGTGTGTGTGTGTGTTGCGGGGGTGGGGGCGGGGTGGGTTGAAGAGGCTGCTACAGAAGCTGAACGGTGACAGTTCCTCAAGCTCCTTTCTTCTCCACTCTGTTCAGGGGCAAAATGGTATTGCATTATTTTTTCTCCCCAGTCAGCATTCTTCTCAGTTAAAAATCAACTCTTTTAAGAATATACCTGCAGTTTGATTACCCGGCCTAGAATTAATGAGCCATTATAGGTGCTAATGGGCCCAGGTGAAGATCTGTGAAGGACTGGGTGCCTTTCCCCATGTGCTGGGGACTAGTGGGCCCCTGTCATGAGCTTCCCAGAATCACTTATGTTCCCATAAGCTGAACAATGTTTGTGCTAATGATGACAACAGCAGCAGCCCGTGTTTCAGGAAAATCTGCCATGCATTGCTTCTGTAGCATGAATCATTAGGGATTCTGTGGGAGTGTGGCTTGCGCCAGTAATGTGCTTAAGATGAAAAGGAGGCTTTTAATGAAGACTTCTGTGCCAAAAAACACGGAACCTGTGGTTCTCCAGATGTGGTTGGACTACAATTCTCATTGTCTCATGGCTAAACTATGGAACTTGCTCCCAGAGGAGGCAGTGGTGGCCACCAGCTTAGCTGGCTTTACAAAAAAGATGATACAAATTCATGGAGGACAAGGCTATTAATGGCTACCCATGGTGGCTATGCTCTACCTCTGCTGCCAGAGGCCTAATGCCTCTGATTACCAGTTGCAGGGAGCCACATGTGGTCAGAGTGCTATTGCACTTGTGTTTAGCTTGCAGGATTCCCACAGACCTCTGGTTGGCCACTGTAAGAATATGATGCTGGTCTAGATGCGTCAATGGCTTCATCCAGCAGGCTTTTCTCATGTTATTTTGTTTGTGCCCAGAGAGGGCATGCTGACTACATGGAGTCCAGCAACATTGGGAGGGCCACAGAGACCTCCCTGCTGTAGGTCAATGTTGCTTAATTCAATGGAACAGTCTACTTGAATATTACTTAGACAGCTGTGCCTGGTACTACCAACCTTTCTCACTGATTTGTTCACAGTGAAGCAAATCCTAAAGTTCTGGTCTTAAAAGTTAATTAGACAGCAGCGGTACCTATTTATCTACTCGCACTGGCGTGCTTTCAAACTGCTAGGTTGGCAGGAGCTGGGACAGAGCAATGGGAGCTCACTCCCTCGCAGGGATTTGAACCACCGACCTTCTGATCGGCAAGCCCAAGAGGCTCAGTGGTTTAAACCACAGCGCCACCTGATGTGTTCTACTCACCACTGTCAGAGGCAATAATGCCCCTGAATTCCTACTGCTGGGAATCACACAGGGAGGAGGAACTATATTTGCCCAGCCATTGTGAAAGCAATGATGTGCCCTGGATGTGTGCCCTAAATAGGTGAGCTGAAAGACCTTGTGTGCTGGATATGATGTGAAAGTTCCATCTCATCATCATTTTGCCAACAGGCCTGAAACAAAATGTTGCTGTGTGGAGGTACTCCACGATTTTGATTCTGGCCACTTCCTTCCATTCTATCTGTCCCCAGCAGTCAGGCAGCATTCCAAGGGTTCTCAGCATGCTCAGTTTGAGGATTCTACCTGTCCCTAATGTGGGTTTCTCTCTCTCTCTCTCTCTCTCTCTCTCAACCTCTGTGTGTGCACATGTGTGTGCTCACCATAGCTTTTTGTGCTTCTGCACGCTTAAGGGAATATGGGAGGCACTCTCACAGCTTCCTATTAGAAGATTGACCTACAGAGGGTCCATAGCCAGGTGGTGGTGCATCTGCTTCAGATAGAAACATTCCATGTTCACCATCTTCTCAAGTTAAAATGATTTAGGTAGCACCCATTGCCTCATGGTTGTGTATCTGCTTTGCAAGTCCCATGTTCAGTCCCTAGCATCTCTCTCTCTCTCCAACCAGGTATCAGATGCTGGGGAAATCCAACAGGCTCTGCCTGATAGGATTGCCAGCTTGGCCCTGCGATTGTGAGTGCCTGGGACCATGAGTGCCATGCAGCATGCATGGCCCTGGCACCAAAATGTGTGGGTGCCTGCCCACCCCCTTCATGGGGCACCCAGGGCCCCAGGGTGTTGGCACCTATGCTGCCTTAGATCCTGGAAAGCTACCAACAACTCTAGCAGTCAGTATTGGGCAAGATGGACCATTGGCCCCAATGCATGGCAATTTCATATGAAGATGAATTTCAGTATTTCCTGGGAGATATTTATGTGTAGGGACAGGAAGGATTCTTTGACAAGTAGCACAAATTTCCCCTGGCGTAGGAATCCTTGGGTCTTTGAATAGAGGCACCACAGGCAGAAATCTAACAGGTGCTGTTTCCCCTGGAAGGAGATGGATTTATGAAGTTCTTATTTTCTTATGAGATGGTCTAGTCCGAAGGTCCTATCAGTCATATTAGCACACAGGGGGGTGGGGGGACAGGGACGATGACCTCAGGCTTGAGCTGCCTCTTGCTTAGATGAATGGAGTATTTTGTGTATGTAGAAACTACTCTACTGTATAGAGGTAAAATTTACATCCTTTCCCCTACTCACTTTTGCCATCACTGGCATGATGTGGCCCACAGATGGTTGCAAAGAAGCAAGTGTGGCCCTCAGATTGAAAATGTTCACGTTCCAGAGGCACTGTAGCTCTGATCACCAGACGCTGAGAGAAGCAGCAAGATTTTCTCGTGTGGTTCCAGAGATTCCATTTTTTGGGTTGTTGTTGTGTTGTTGTTGTTTAGTCGTTTAGTCGTGTCCAACTCTTCATGACCCCATGGACCAAAGCATGCCAGGCACTCCTGTCTTCCACTGCCTCCCGCAGTTTGGTCAGACTCATGTTTGTAGCTTCAAGAACACTGTCCAACCATCTCATCCTCTGCCGTCCCCTTCTCCTTGTGCCCTCAATCTTTCCCAACATCAGGGTCTTTTTCAGGGAGTCTTCTCTTCTCATGAGGTGGCCAAGGTATTGGAGCCTCAGCTTCATGATCTGTCCTTCCAGTGAGCACTCAGGGCTAATTTCCTTAAGAATGGATGCGTTTGATCTTCTTGCAGTCCATGGGACTCTCAAGAGTCTCCTCCAGCACCATAATTCAAAAGCATCAATTCTTTGGCGATCAGCCTTCTTTATGGTCCAGCTCTCTCATTTTTTGGGTGGCCACTGTCAAGTATCTGATGCTGGTGCTTGACAGATATTATGTTTGATTCAGGCAAAGCATTATTTTGGATTTAGTTTTTAAGGGTAATTTAATTACTCTGATCTTTATCAATATGGTACAAGATGGCAGGTGTGTGTGTTGAATGCCATAAAAATATACTGATGTTTCCAATACTTGTCTGTGTTTAACAAATTGCTCATAGGAAGGGTGTGTGTGTGTGTGTGTGTGTGTGTGTGTGTGTGTGTCTGCATCAAATGCATGGTGATTTGCATGTTGTATATTACTATGTTTTG